ACTTCCACAGATAGAGATACAGATACAGATACATTTGTATATTTAAGTACTTCATGGTTAGCGCGTAAATTAATGGTTAAGCCATTGCCGGTTGTTGGTCGTTTGGTTTTGGGTTGTTGCCCCTGGTTGCCAACGGCGATGGGGTTTTGACCATAATGAATGGGGGCTTAAGGGGGTTTAAGGGGGTTAAGAAGGGGGCGCCCACCGATGAGTGCGGTGAAATTCGCTGGCAAATCACGCCCCAAATCAGCGATAGTTGGCCTCACGGAGGCATCGCTAAATCACAGCAAAACCAAAGCAAACACTGATAGAAAAAGGGGTTAGTAAAAATAGATATGTGATAAAAATGGTATAGTACATATAATAACTAACAATTGAGTTCAAAATTTTATATATAATAATTGAAATTAATATTAATGCATATTAAATTGCATGATTAAACATTAAATTTTTTTAATATATATGAAATATATATTAGATTTAAAATAGTTATTATTTGATTTAAATGATTTTTATTGAAGTTTCAATTTTAATTCAATTATTAGATTTTAAACTCTATTGCAAAAATAGTAATGTTTGAATTTAGTAAGTTTTTTTACCAGTGAACCAGTGAAATTTTAGCCACAAGATAAGTGCTAAATTACCGCGGCCCCGAACAAATCAAAATCAGGCAACTGTGCATTGCAAATAGAAATAATGGTCACACCCCAGGAAAATCGCAAGCCCCCTTATTCCACACCTCTCAGGTGTATGTGTGTGTGGGTGGGGGTGTGGCATCCAATGACAACCGGCTAGCGAAATCCAAGACACGGCTGCAATCTTGTGCGGATTTCATGGGGATTAATTAAAATTGCCAATTACGAATTCATTAAGGCAGATCAAATTCCCAAATTCCGAGGCGGGGCCCATTAAGGCGGCTTTCGTTACGGCCGGAATACGCCTTACATTGGCCGGAGACTGGCAACTTCCGGGGAACAGGATACGGCATACCACCTGCCCGTTTCTGTCCCCATTTTCCACACATTAATTGGGGCTATATCGGAATATTGCTCATAGTTTCGGACAGGATTTTGAAAACAATTAACTACGAACTGGGGAAGTTCGGTTGATTCTGGCTTGAGTTGCTAAACAATTTTTCAAATAAAATTCTTAATAAAGTAAGAGACTGTATAAAATAAATTCAAATTAGTTATTTAGTAAAACATTTTATCAAGTGCATTGTATTTATTGTAAATCTTTGTTTTAAATTTATATGGGAAGTCACTAAAATTCTAAAATGTGTGCAATTTTTTATATTTTTTGCTTTTCTTCAAATGTCAAGTTAGTCAAAATACATAGCCATATTAATTTCAATTTGAGACATCAAAGTGTTTATCTTGTATTCATTTAGCATAAAATCAGCATTGATAGTTTACTTTTAGATTTTCTTTTTTTCAGATGCGTTTAAAAACAGCTTTCAAGTGGGTGTCTCAGACATTTCTCCCATTTCGGTTTGTCAATTGTTTGTCACTCTGGTAAAACAGACTGCCAGAATGCGTTTTAATCACCCGATTGTTGGCACAAGCGTGCAAATCGGGGCTGAGCAGTGAATTGTCGGGTTCTCAATGTCCCCAAAGGCGGGGAAAATTGGGGGCAACTTGGGGCAAGAAATGCGGCAGTCGAAGTAATTTAACCGAAATACACGGCATACTTTGTCATCGCGAAAGCAGAGCTCCGTGGCTTCACCCCTGGGCGGGTTTCTAATTAATTTGCGTTGACATTGGCAGTCGGTAGTCGGTAGTCGACAGACGGCATCAGGGGGTTAAAACGGGGGGTCAAAGGTTGCCAGCATCCGCATCCAGACCAACTGCTGACACGCAACAGATTTATAACGTTATTTGTTTGTCGTCTGCAGTCGGTAGTCTGCAGTTTGTTGTGGCAGCTGCGGCTCACTTTTTGATTGCCTGGCAGCAAAAGAAAAAGGAAAAGCAAGAAAATCAGGAAAAGCTGACAAAAGCGCCGCACGACCAAAACGTGAACGCAAATGGAAATGGGACTGAAGCTGCAGCTGCAGCTGCAGCTGCAGCTGAAACTGAAAATGAAAACGAAAACTGTGTCGCACATCACTCAGCCGAAACTCAACTCAACCCGTCTCAACGCAACTCAACTCAACTCGAGTCAACTTGAGTCAAGTCAAGTGGTCCAAGGAGCAGTCAGACGCACGCCGGGATACGGATTAACCCTCCGCAGCGGAGGACTCTTTGCCGGTGAAAGGTTCTTAAAAAAGCGCCAAGAAGTGTTCTTGATTTCGGGAATTTGCTTTGTGGCGGCGGGCCACTTAAGCCCGAAGGCAGCCAAGGCAGATGCAAAAATTGCCCTTAAAGGGCTCAAAGTCTATCAAATATTATAAATGAGAGGTACAATATTCCCCCAAACGAGTTACTTTGCCAATAAAAAATGCACAGTCAAAATAATTGTGTAGCAGAACTAATCTTTTGCGAAAATTCGACAAACTGAAAAATGTTCAGCTGTAAATGACATTCGATTGGATTTTAAAAAGCGTATTTTCAAAAGTTGATTTGATGGCCGATTTTCGCATTTTTGATTAGGGGGTACATCATCATTGTTTTCGAAAATTCGCGAACTAAAAAATTGTTAGTTGTGAATGTCATTTGATCGGATTCAATGGTGTGTGACATTCCAACTTCTGACCATTATTTCTGACTTTTCATTAAAAGTTATTTTGCAGAAATTTGAACATCTGAAATATTTTAACTGTGAATGCCATTCGATTGGAAATTTTATTACGAATTCAACGGTGTATGACATTCCATCGTTTGACTATTACTTCCCAGGGTTTTGACACAAAAACCAAGTTTTTAATGTGTTTTTTGGGATTTTTGGCGATTTTTCAAACAACATTATTTCTGAAGAGTCTTTTTGCTGTAACTTTGCCAAAATAAGACCCAAAGTCAAAAGAGTTGCTATTTAGAACAACCTATGCCATCCATCGCTGTTCGATTGAAAACAATAAATTTAGTTTTGACAAAAAAAACGAATTTTGAAAAACGTGTTTTGTAGAATTTATGATTTTGTTGAGTTTTCGATTCTTAAGTAGAATACCTTAAAAATTCTATTCTCAGTTAATTTGCAATAAAATGTATGCTCAAAAAGTTAGTTTATTTTGGTACTAATTTCTATTTTATATCTTTCTAAGTTTCCAAAAGCTTGTAGAAGGATTTATGAAAACTGAATTTATATACATATCCCAGAATTAATTTACTGTTTTTTTTTTTTTGTTTTAAGATTTTTGTTCAAATTTTGTAAATTGTTGCACGCAGTTGTTGATGGCCAATAAAAGTACTAATTGAGGTATTTGGCCAAACAACAATGTACTGAACTTATATACCCATAAATAACCCAATGGAATTTCTCAATCTGTTCGCTGGCAAAAGTTATGACTCCGTTAACACTAGACATTTATTAATTCGCCTGGGAACAGCTGGGGCCAGAAGAAATGTGTTTTAATTAATGGACATCTGGCCTGTGGAATTTGTCAGGGATTAGGAATGCTGGCCACATCCTACGAAGTCGTAGTCGAAGTCAATGGTGAGCACTAGAGGCAGTTACTTATAAATCTTAGGCCATAAATTACCCACTGAAAAGGAGAACTTCTTCTCCTTCTCTGTTTGATAAAAGAAATCCTTTGTTGAATGTCGCGGCTGTTTACATATTTTTAATAACGTGCTCGCAAATCAACTGAAGCGAGCCTGTGTGTGAACTTGACATCAAAATGAACAAGACAAGGACTCCGAGTGGGAGGTTAAATCATATTTAACAAACAGCAAACAAGGGGGACGGGAGCACGCATGTGTACGTTCCGTTCCGTTGCAGGAGGAAAACCAAAGGGGGTGGAAAACCAGGGGGGGTGAGGGGTTAAACAGACAAGGTGTCTGAGCGAGTCGCAACAACGCCTGCCATCTGACACATAAATATGTCCCTCCTGCTTCCCCAGAAACAATGTACAAATAAAACAATACAAAATCATCAGCCATCAGCAGCAGGCTGCAAAAAGGCGACTGGAAAAACACTTTTCCATATCATTCACACTCATTTAACGGAAGAATAATTATCCCTGAAGTATACCAAAAGTAAGAAATATTAATAATATAATCATTATTTTAATAGAACATATACCTTTGCAAAATAAAGTCTAAATTAAAATTTTTTCTAAAATTTGACATGAAATCTTAAAAGTTCATAAAAGAAATATATTGAAAGCAATTAATATAAATAATAAAATCACTACTGCCTAAGTACCTTTTCTAAACTGAAGTCTTGATTGAATATTTTGTTTCCTCGGAAAAGTGTGAATGATGCGGGAAAGCGGAAAAGTAGAAATGTGGAAAAGCGGAGGCTGGCGGCGTCAAACCAAAGCGCCAGACAAGTGGGGGCAAATATCTCCAACATGTTGAACTCAACCTGGCGACGACATCTTCGCGTTGATGATGATAACTCCAGACAAAGAAGCCGAGCTCTTGACTTTTTTGACTTCTTTTCATTTATTTTATATTCGCCCCTTCTTATGGTTTTTTTCTTATTTTTTTGTGTGTTTGTTTTTTGCCAGCGACAAATCGACATTTGCTGCATTAAATGCTGATCAAATACACTTCCGCTCGTTTATCTGTGTAAATATTTGAGCGGGCGGGCTAACAAGTTTACAGCCACTGGCGCCACTGGGATGGCAATGAAATGACGCAAGAAAAGTTGCAAAGCTCAAGGCCCCCTCCTCAAACAAAAAAAGGCAGACACAATTGAATTGTTAAAGAGGGAAATCTGGAAATCTGGAAATCTGTTGACAGGCAACGAACCGAAATAGCATGGCCCCACAGCAAGTGTCAAAGTGTCCCATGCTAAATTTAGGCCTCACCCAAGGCCGGAAATTGAGAGTGACACACCAGTGGGGGGTATATAAAATATATCAGTGTTCAGTGTATAGTTCTCGAGTGTATATATCTCACCTCCGCGGGGAACGTATACCCCTCGACACTGTGCTCCGATCCGAATTGGTCGTTGAGGCCGTAGTGCATGTGGATCTCGTGGAAGCGGTAGCGGTACGACAGCGGTCCCCCCGAAATATTCACCGGCGTCTGCATGCCGTCGTAGTTGGCCACCGTGTCATTTCCGGCCGTAAAGATGACGCTGTGACCCGTATTAGTGATCAGTCCAGATATCTAGGGGTTAACCGCAATAAAATATTTGTATTTACCACATATTTTTTAGCAGTGTCGCGATCTCTTTACTCACCCTGTGCTTGTCTATGTGCATGGGCCTCAGGTTGGGATCAAAGAGCAGGCGCTGTGGCTCCAGATTGACCGGCGACTGGCGACGACCCTTGTTGCAGAGCGACCATTCCGGATTGATGAGGCCCCAGAAGGCAGGACCTTGGATCGAGGACGAGAACGAAAACGAAACTTTATTAGACAGACTTTCGGATCGATCCCTGTCCAGGATGGTGGCATGGAGATTTATGAACCCACTGCCCCCTCAAACTCCGTTCAAAGTTTCCCAGCCGACCACAATTGTGGATTTTTAGTTGTTTGTTGTTGGTTGTTGGCTGGCAGGCAGAAGGTGTTGCAAAAAGCTGCCACAAATTGCATAATGGCTGAAACAGGGGGCAAAAAGTCAAGGGGGTGACCATTACAATATTTGTCTGCAGATGCATAGGTGCTGGTCTGCGTCGGTTTAGTTTTTTGGTTTCTGCGTCTGTTTGATTCTGGCCACACAACTAAGCCATCTAATACCCCATTGCTGCCTGAATTTCCATGCGGTTTGCTTAGTTTTCCCACCAGCCAAGCCCCACTTTTACGGAGTCAGTCTCAGTCCCTGTCCTTTTGGCTTTGGCCAAACTTTATCTGGCCCGGCAGCTTAATTTATGGCAATATGAAATCAAGCTGAGCTGCCCCCAAAAAAAAAAAAAAAAAAAAAAACAATAGGCCAGCTTTTTTATTGCCAGTTCTCAGGGCAAGTCATTGCTTTTGCCAGCTCGTGTTGCTATTGTTGAGTTGATATAATCTATGGCCCTTGTGTTTTCAGCAATTGAAAGTGTTTCATTTTGGTTTGGCTTGCATCTAAGTTCTCCGACTCAATCGAAAAAAAAAAAAAAAGTTTAGTAGCAGTTCATATAGCAGATTATAAAATTTCATTTCCTTAAAGTATTTTCTATTCCATTTTAATTTACTCTGTGACTGTGTTTATGCAATGACCATTTAAAACCAATAAACAATTTAAAATGAAATTTTTTTTGCTTTCTAAAGGGTGATATATTACTTTTGCTTCACTCAGTTGTATTGTTAAATAGTTATTCTTATCGTAAAATTACTAAAATAATAATACTAGCAGAGCTGCCAGACATGTCAGGCATCTCTGCTTGTTTTTATGCATTCGTCTGTATCGCATAAGAAGGGACTATTGTCTTTAAGAATTCATGAAATAAGATAACTTATTCGATTTGTTTAACTTCTAACAGGTGCTTTCCGCATTTCAAATACCCTCTCCTTAGTTGAGTTTATGGATTTTATTTATATGCTGCGCTTATCCTTTTATTTGCCATGTTTTTCGCTTGCTTGCTCAAGGATCAACCTATTATTTAAACCTCTTCTGGGCGTTTCATTCGAGTCCGTTCCGTTCCAGCCACTAGTAATCCCATTTATGGCACACATTCCCACAGAATTTCGCCCCTCCTCTGTTCTACCATAGAAATGCTTCGCCTGCAGTCGCATTGCGTATACGACACGTAGTCAGCGGAAAAGGGGGGTGGATGAGGCAGAGATGCATGGGAATCAACACGTTCGCTGCGAGGCCGCAATCAGGAGCTTCAATCATAGATATGCCACGTACTCGCGTTTAAGCGATTGTTGACCTCAAACGACGCCATCGCATTAGCCAAAAGAAAAGCCAAAAGAAAAGCGGATAAAATAAAAGGGGATGAGGAACGCGGAAAATAATCCAAAGACTGGGAAAACTAACCAGTGGAGCTGATGATGAAAAACTGGAGATGCCACACGGGCGTGAATGGGTTAAGCAATTAACTCTCTAGAGCGTGGTGATCTAATCAGAAAAAAAGGGGTGTCACAAATATTACTAAAAAAGAAAGTGCCTAGAAGAATGCAATGAAAAATTATGTGTCCGCAAGTCCCTAGGATTTATTCCAAAAGAGGACTTTATTTTTATATGGCATGCTTTAAGACAACCTTTCAAGTTAAATTAAGAACATAGTTAAAATATGACAAGCTTAATTTTTTAAAACACAATTCATTTATTTGTATAATATTTTAAAGCATTCATGAAATTTTAGTATAAAGAAAACTTTATTAATAAAATTGCTGCGTTAAAGTATGCAATTATATATAATGACTCCGAAAATCCTGGGGATTCATTTAATAAGACAACATTCTTTTTATGTTGCATACTTTAAGACACCCTTTTAAGTTGTTTTAAGACCTTTGTTATTTCAACTGATAAGTTCGTAGTTTCAGGTTTTAAAATAAAAAGAAATGTATGCGCATATTTGATTGTGGCAAATAAAGAGATTTTTTAAGGAGACTTTTTCACCCGTGTCACGTGCTCATCACCAGTGCACTTAGCGGAAGGGGAATAAACGTGGGGCAGAAGGCAGAAGTCTTCAGATAGCGCCGAGTAGGATGTTGCAGTCTCGAGTTCGAGTCTATTAAATTGCGGTCTGGCTTCGGTAGTCGAGTCAATGAGGCAATGAGGCAATTGCCAAACGATTTTAGCAGCCATTAACAACATTAGTGGCTTGGCTGACTGGATGTGGATGTGCGATGTGGATGTTGATCCACGATGGGTGGTGTAGCGAAGGTGGTGTTTTTTCAGTGAGCTACTGGTGCTGCCAAAGGCGGTGGCATGAAGCACGCTTCGTTTGATTCCGTTTGGTCGCTTTTATTTGGCTCGTTGCGAGTGCAAATCACGTTAAACAAGTGGCACGTTGCAGCTGCAACTGCAGCTGAGGCTTAGTCGTCTTTTTCGGGGCCTCATCGATTTCCAAATCACCTCCCTTTTAACACACACATCTGCATCTGCGCCCCTGACAAGCGATTTCGGAGTCCTTCAGCCGACATGCATGCAATGCTTATGTAAATTTATTTATGCCAAAAGAGACACAAAGTTCGCCTCGGATTTCGGTTGCAATTTGTTGACAACACGTGTTACAAGACACCCCTGTTTCCAGGCTTTTACACGACGAGAAAAGATGACAAAAATAAAAAAAGGCTCCCTTGGCAGTTCCTTTTTACATAATTATAATCAATTTGAAATTTAGTTCTAAGATATTTCTTTGATATTTCTACTTAATTTTAAATTAGACTCTTACTACAAAATATACACAATTCTTTTTTATATTAAAAAAATGGATTTCAATATAAAATATGATAAACTCAAAATTACTTAAAAGCACTTTATTTTGGTTATATTTTCTATGATAACCTACATAGTACAAACAAAATTCTATCTTTCGTTATTATTTAAAATTCAAAATTGTTTTAAAATTTATTGTTAGCCTACAAATATTTAAGTTCAAGCTGAAAATTATTTTTTAAGTCTTAAAGAACATTTTGGTATCTAAAAAATTTGCAGTTGATATTTTCAATGCATTTAACTAAATCAGTTTGTATAAATATATCTTATAGCACTCTACAGAAATATGTATATCGATAAAACTTTAAGAAACATGTAGAAGTTGGTAAAATATAAGTTGGTTTTCTAACCGCTTTAAAAATTCTCCTAGCAAATCATTTGAAATTCGTGCTGAATTTTGTTTTTGTCACTTTAAATTTGATTTTTTGCCACCTATCTTGCATTTTGCACTTTCTACTTTTCCCTGTTCGCCAAATCCAATTCAAAATTCAAAGCACTTGAACTTATTTATGCATTTGTCTTGTGCAAATGGCGTCGCCGTTGTGTCTCTCTAATAAGATTAAGAAAGATGCTTTTCCACCGAAGTGAGAAGTACAGGGAGAGACGGACAGAGACAGAGAGAGAAGGGGAGAAAGAGAAAGAGAAGGAGCAACGGTTATCGGCTGTCTGCTGTCCTGTCTGGACTTAATCTCCACGGACCTTTGCCCCGATTTCGCCGCTCGTAGTGACACATGGCGAACTGTTCTCCATTTCGGGACTGCCTCTGTCTCTTTCCCCAACTTCTATACCCCTCTCTTTCTCATGCTACTATACCCTTCTCTCTTTCCACGTCTGGACTGCCACTGCTTATCACGTTTCAACGCCAGACAATGGCGAAAAAAGGAAAGTTCTCTATTTCTCCGCTTGGGTCTTTGAATACTTTGTCTGCCTTTCCATTTGACAGCTGCAAATCGGCTTCGTCTCTGCTTTTATTTCCCCACTCCGCTCTTTTTACATTTTCCCAACACATTTTCCCCTTTCCCAACCCATTTTCCCTTTGGCCTTTTTTCCATGCATTTCACGCGTGCAGCTTCAGTCGCTGAGAAAATCGTTTTACACCGGCAACAACAACAACAACAACAACAATCGCCCTGGCTTTTCCCATTTTCCGCGACCCTTTCCTGCTCGATTTTCAAGCCAACTTTGTTGCTGTAGCGACGCGTGCTGCTCGTTGGCTGAAAATTTTACTTTCCGCTTCCGTCCGTGGTTATTGTTGAGCTTTGATTAAAATTTACTTTGTTGTTGGTATTTATGAAACTTAAAGGTGGCCGTGGAAAAATGAGGATGCAGGGGAGGTGAGGGGGGCGGGATTTGACGGAAAAGCTTACCTGAGATGCCATCGTATGTCCACCAATCCTCCCAACTGACGGCGAGCAGAACTGCAAAGAGAAAGCGGTGAAAGTGCATCAGATTTCCACATCGATTTCGAGTTGATGAGTATAAGCCGCGAGAACATGTCAAAGATCCTGATTGGGTCAATATATACTCAGCGGTAATACCTTATAATGTTTGGGGAAAAAACGCAATTAATTATACCGGGAAGTATCTAAAAGATTGCAGGGAATTTCTCACATTTACGACTTAAGACTTGTAAGAAAGTTTAAAAATGGTTTCACTTATTATTTATTGATTATATTCATTAGGATTAAAATTTAATTCTTTTTATATCCAGCGGTATTTTTATTCGACTATTTTGTCATCATCTTTGTTTATAGCTAAAATACTTATTTAATTTGTATATATTCTTATACAAATATTTTAGTTTAATAAACTTTGTTTAATTTTCAAGTCATTAACTGTCTAATCATAACATTGATTTAATTATTGTATAAATATCATTCATACCGTAAACTATCTTGCAACTCTTAGATATTAATATCAAATAGTTATAGACAGCAAGTGGTTTATTTTATAGATTTGTTTGTAAGCACAAATGTATATTTAATATGTATATATATATATGTTTTTTTATTTTTTTTTTTAACGAATATATAATATTTCCCAACAAACAAATCAAAATGTGTAATTTTACAATCATCAAAAGCAACTTATTTATTAAGCTCACAGCTGAAATTTCTTCTATTTTAATGATAGGGCATCAACTGTTTTGGCTGGAAACTTTTTACGGCGAGTCCTTCGTGTCCTGCACTTTGTGGAAATGATTTTTGCTTACTTGCCTTTTAATTTTTTCGTGTTCGAGTTGGTTTTCGCTTTTTGTTCGCCGTTTCACGTTGGCTCGTTTTTGTTTTGCGGCTGCTTTGCTCTTTTTTTGCTCGCCCTGTAAATTCACTTCCGTCACTTGTTAACTTTAACATTCATCGACACTTTTTGCCTTTTTGGCTTTTGGCGTTTTTTTTTTTTGTTGTACCACCTCACTTTTTCTGGCTGGGCGGGAATGCAGCTGAAGTACTTTGTTATTTTGACAGCCGACAAAAAGCGGGCCAATGCCTTTGGCCAGAAGCACTCAACCCCTTCTCGACCAGCAAGCAACCTGCACTCTTTCTTTCCTTCCGCGACTCGAATCAAAGTCAAGAAATGTTGAGTCATTAAAACGCGTTACGAACCCCCTCAAAAAATCTCCTTTTGGTCCTTCGGCTTCCCCACAAAGTGCAGTGCGAAATGCACTGTAGTTTCCGGCGAGAAGTTACTCGTTCTCGGGGAAAAAACCCCAACGAACTCGACTTCCACTCCAGATATTCTTGTGAAACTTTCTGAAGGGTGTTATTAGGTAAAAAGAGGTATATTTGCTAACGAATTTTCGGGGAAAAATAGTTATTGTAGGCACAAATAGGCTAGATTCTGTTGTTATGACAACTATTTAAAAAAAAAATAAATTAAATTTTTAAAAGTGAAAAAAAGGAATCATATTTATAAATATATATAAAAAAAATAGTCCAAATAAAATATTAGTAATTTTTTTCTTTTTAATTTTGATGTTCTATATAATCTAAATAAATTGAAAATAAAGTTTTTTTTTTTAAATGTTATTATTGATTTTGTAACTGAATATATCGCTAGATCTTTCCTAAGCAAATTTCAAAATAAAACTATTTTGTCAAGGCAAACTTTAGGTCATAACAACCCAGAGTTCCCTGCTTTTTTTTACCCCTTTGAAAGTAAAAAAGCATGGATAAAAAAACCTTGAAAACTTGTGACGAGGAAAGAGCGAAAAGTAAAAGGCAACGACAAGAGCAACATCAACGAGAGTAATAACAATAATAATAATAATAATGCAAAGTCATGGGCAATGATTGAAATTAATGGATTTCTAAATGCTCAGCGTCATTGCAGTCGCCCATTCTCGGCTCTTAACCCTTTGACAACCGAAGGGCGGGGCGGTTGGTTTAACCCGCTGTCGATAAATTGTGGCCGGAATGTTGCGCACTGAGATTCATAAAACCCCTTTTGCCATTCGTAATTTTTGTGGCGCACTTGAAGATTTATTTCGTTTTAATGCAGCCAATGCAAACCAAAATGCAGCAAAACCAAAATCCAAAAACCAAAAATGTTGGTTACCCGAATCCTAATAAACTAAACTAAACCATGAAAAACAACAACTTGTTTTAAATAAATAATACTCAAAAAACAAAAAAATAACTAATAACAGCTTTAAGGTATTCTGTGATAAAAATTAACATCTTATCTTGGCGTTTTATGAATTACACCTGTTAAAGCCCATTTAAACTAGAGCTGCGTTTATTTTAACATTCAGTGTCCAAGATTCCGAATTTGCCATTAAGCTTTAGGTGTTTTTAGTCTCCCAAATTTACACACTTTACCAAAAGTTTTTTTTCACCTTTTTTTTCTGCTGAAAAACATTTCGAATAATTTCTATTCAATTCGCTGCTTCTTCCACTCTCCTTTGGTTTTGTTTGTTCATTGAATTCTATTTATAAATTTTCACCTGGCTGCACATCCCCTCCCCTTTCCCCCCTACTACATCTGATCCTTCTGTTGGCTTCTTCTCCATCTCCATCTCCATCTTTTTCTTCTTATTCTTTTTGACCCTCTTCTGTTGGCCTTCTTCCACTCCTCCTTGGCATCGCATTCGCAATCATAAAAGGCAACAAAATGTTGAACAAATTTTTATGGCTGCACAAAGCAACAGAGAGTGACAGGGCAAGAGAGCAGGGCAAAAAGTCACCAGTCCAGAATGCACTACAAAAAAATTCCATTAATTTTTCCTCGGACCAATTAACGTTTATTAAATGTACAAATATATAAAAGTTTTGAATTTTTAAAATATTGATATACATGCCAAATTGTATTTAATAAATAATCAAAATGTATTTATCATTTAATGAGTATTTACTAATATAACTTATGCTAATATTTTTACTTCTTTTTTTTTAAATAATCACTATGGACGGCAGAGCTCCTTTTAAGATAGTTTCATTCTTGTTGAAAATACGCGTCGGAAGAAACCTAACTTGCTTGGATCGTATGCCCCGTTCAATAGTTATTAAAAAGTATTTAATATTTCTATTGATTTTCAAATTGAAAATTGTTGGGTCTTCGTATGTTTAGGCTAATTTTTAGGTCCTCGAATAATTTTATAAAATCGGCTAGAAAAAGCCAAGTTTTTTTTTAGAAAAAGTAGCTCTTTTGGCGGTAAATCAGCTAGAAAAATCTAAGTTTTATACAAAAAATAGCCAGTTTGGCCGGAAATTAGCTAGAAAAAGGCTAAAACGATCCGAATTGCTACTTTGTAAAAGTCTATTTGTTTAGCTGAAAGTTTGTTCATTGTTCATCAAAAAATTTTATATAAAATGTTTTGAATTTTATGAATATTATTAGACAGATAAAAAATATAGATATATATATATAGATAAATATATCATTAATCATTTCTTAGAAACTGAATTAAATGTTCTTAGCTTACTTGTTAAGAAGAGTCAAAAAAATTCTAAATTGAATAAGTAAAATAGACTTTCCATGGATTTGGCATGTTTTTTTCTATTTCTCTCAGTGCAGGCAATGCCATGGCAGCAGAGCCGTCTGAACGCCCCCGCCAGCCCCTCACCCCGCATCCCGCATCCTTTAGCCTTCGTACTCGGCTTGTGGTTGTCGCTTTTGTGGCTACCTCGTATTTTCCCGCCCCGCCTCAGTTTTCCCCCTCTGTTTTCGCAGTCGCGCCTTTTAGTATTAATTACAAATGAAATTTTCTTATCATTTCAGTTGTCGTTGTCGTTGCCGTTGACAACTTTCTGTCTGCTGGCCCGTCTGGGTCCCCCCCTTTTCACCCGTTGGAAGCTCCTCTAGTTTAGGGCCAATAAGCAAAAATAGTTGCTGCTAATTGTTGTTTGCCGTTTATGGTTATGGCCAATGCGTGCTAATTGTCGCCAGCCATCTCCTTTTGGTTTCCTTTTTCGGGGCCTTCAATTTCCATTTCAATTTCAATTTCAGCTTCAGTTTCGATGCTGAGTCTTATTTTGTATTTCGCATTGTGCTTCCTGCAGGAAATTAATGGCGACACTTTAGTTGCGCCCAATATTGTTTGCCTCTCCTGTCAGCCAGTTATTTGCCTTCTTTTCTTTTGATTTCTGATGCTCTAGTTCGGGTTTTATTGGAAAATATTTCTTGTCAAGTCAAGTGGCATTCACTAATGAAAATTTTTAATTTTTGTCAATTTTTTGCAAGAAAATTTGAATAAATACGAAAGTTGGAGAAAAAAAAGCTTAGGATCTAAACTGTACAAAACAATCAATTTAAAGTTAGTAAATTATAACAATGTTAAACAAAATGTTTTGTTTGTTTTGATTTATCGCTTTGATTTTAATTTATTGCTGTTTTTAGTTTTTTTATATATGAAATTTTAAAGTTTTTTATTTGACTATTTTTGGAATGGATTTTAGTAACTGAAGATTTATTTAAATTAAAACTATAATAAAACGCATTTAAATCAAAAATAAAAATTATTTGAAATCTTATACGTTCCACATTAAATAAAATAGTTTAATATTAAAAGCAATTTAATATGCATTGCATTTAATATTTAAATTAAACATTGAATATACAACTTGGAAATTAACAGTCAGATCTTTATTTTTACGATCCCATTTTTTATCAGTGAAGGGACATATTTTAGAAACACTTAGTAATATAATATATATTTATCAGAAGTTTTAAAGTACAACTTATGGGTAAAAGGCTTTAAATTAATAGATATGTATTTCAAAAGTTGGTAACAGAGTATTATACAATTCGATCTATGTAATATATTCCCATTTTCCGGCTTTTTAGTGTCGTATGTTTTCTTTGCATTGCCTTCGTTTTTCGTTGGATATTTGGTATTTGGCATTTTGCGTTTTGCTTTTTTGTTTTTGCCATTTTCTATTTGTTTGCTGTCGTCGTCGTCGCTTGTCTATTTAAAAAGCAC